TAAAGTAATATTATCTAATTATGGCTAAACCATACTCCAATCGGTTTTTGTTATTTCACTTTTAACTAGAGATATGGACACTGCTTTTACTTCTCCATTTTGTCCCAACTAATAATCAAATTTCATGTTGTTATCATATTGTCAAACTAGGTGCAAGAATTTTGCATGCAAATGCCATTAAAAAATGCCCATCATGCTCGCATGGCGCTTGTGTTGTGATTACATAGTTTATTTTTAAACTTTTTATAAAAGAAAAAAAATAAAATGCATATCATGTGTAAATAAAGAATTTTAACGACCACTAATGACGAGGTTACAAATTAAAACAGTCTTTAATCTATGTACAAGTTCTTTTTTGCATCCTGTTTTTATAAATTTACATAAACAGTAATGAAATAAAATAAAAAGTAAAAGTAAAAACCACTAACATCGGTCATAACGCATAATCATTTTGTGGTCAGTGCCCTCCTAAATATTAAAAATCGCCATGTAACAAAGTGTTTGTTTTTTATATTTTAAAATTCGAAGGTATTATATAGGTTAGGTCGACAAAAAAAACTCACAAGACATTTGGGGGCACTAACATTTCAAGTTGTTGTTATTTTATAATTAGGTCTGGCGAAATACAAAATTACCTGCTTTTTTGTATGAATGTATACACTTAATATGCAAGTTTATTTTGGCCATATTTATTTTAAAAACTTAATGTTACATTACTTCTTTACCGTGACGATTATTTTTCCCAGCAGACCCAACATTTTACTATCTAAAGGTTATCGCAGGTTGCTAGAGAAGGGTGTTTGGTATAAAGCCATATATATATATATATATATATATATATATATATATATATATATATATATATATATATATATATATATATGGTTTTATATATATCATCATTGCAGCCTTTCATAAGTCCACTGCTGAACATAGGCCTCCCCCAAGGAATGCCACAAAGCACGGTCCTGAGCCACCTACATCCATCGACTTCCTGCATGTCTTACCAGGTCGTCACTCCATCTCGTGGGGGGTCACCCTAAACTTCACCTACCGGTACGAGGATGCCACTCAAGAACCTTCCTTCCCCATCGGTTGTCGGCTCTTCGAGCTATAAGGCCGGCCCAAAGCCACTTCAGCTTGCTAATCCGATGGGCTATGTCGATTTGATGGTTCTACTGCGGATATACTCATTTCTAAGTTTATCACGCAGAGAAACCCGGAGTATAGCCCTCTCCATAGCTCGCTGAGCGATCTTGAGCTTCCTCATACGGCCAGCAGTGAAGGACCACGTCTCAGATCCGTAAGTCATCACTGGCAACACGCACTGGTTGTACAATTTCGTTTTAAGGTTTTGAGGTGTGTCTGACGAGAAGATGTGTCGTAGTTTCCCGAAATCTCCCTAGCCGAGTTGAATCCGTCGATTGACCTCTCGGTCGAAGTTGGACTTACCTAGTTGGACTATTTGTCCCAGGTAAACATACTCGTCAATAACTTCGAGCTTAGCGCTCCCAAAAACTACCGGCATAGGTGTGACATGGACATTAAACATGATCTTTGTTTTGTCCATGTTCATCCTAAGACCAATAGGTCGTTGAGACACACTATTGAGCATGGAGCATGGTGCTTAGGTCCTACAGCGATTCTGCCATAAGGACTATATCGTCGGCAAATCGAAGGTGAGTAATGTACTCGCCATTGATATTAATACCGTATGCTTTCCAGTCCAGAAGCTTGAAAACGTCTTCCAATGCAGCGGTGAAGAGTTTCGGGGATATAACATCACCCTGTCTTACACCTCTCTGCAATTGGATAGGTTTCGTACTCTGGTTCTGTACTCGGATAGCCATCGTAGCTCTACTGTACAAACACTTCAGCACTTCGATATACCGACAGTCAACTTGGCATCGCTGAAGGGACTGCAGGACCGCCCAAATTTCGACGGAATCAAAGGCTTTCTCATAGTCTTTGGGTATATTTTGTGACCTATCCAAGACCTTCGATTGTGTTCACCATGAAACATTAATCAAGAAACTTCAACACTACGGTGTAAGAAGTGATGCTCTTAAATTAATTATTTCATATTTAATTACGAGAACGCAAAAAGTTTCCATTGACATACATGAGCCACAAGGCTCAATTCTCGGCCCCTTCCTGTTTCTTGTTTACATTATTGACCCACCTTACATAGTAGGGGATAACCATGATATAGTATTATTTGCAGATGACACTTCTTTAATTTTCAAATTAAGTCGACAATTATTAAAATATGACGAAGTAAATAATGCTATATCTAAGTTAGTAAATTGGTTCAATGTTAATAATTTGCATTTAAATGGCAATATAACGAAATGTATGAAATTCACGACTCCAAATGTCAAACAATTAAATACTTATGTAATTTAAATGGGGAGAAACTGAATCTTGTAGATATCACCATTTTTCTTGGAATCACTCTAGACGCGAAGCTTCAATGGAGCCCCCATATATCAAAGCTAGCAAGCAGACTTAGTTCTGCAGCATATGCTGTAAAATAGATTAGATTTATAGATGATAATAACCCCTGGAAATGAGGTGATCGCTACCAAGCTATTTCTAATTTGTTGCGTTGTTAATTTGTGTAACATACATGATTGTAAGCTTTTATTTAAAAAAAAGTCCCGCTGGGTTTCTTGCTGGTCCTTCCCAGGACAGAGGTTTTTTTTCCGAACCACTATTAATTAAACAAAAGAGTGACTTTCAATAAGTATTATTTATAATCTATATTGAATAAAAAAGTTTCTGTTTCTGTTTCTGTACAACATTTTTAATTTTACCACTTGTTTTTTATTTTATTTTTTCTAGTAAATGTTTAGAGGACATTATAGTAACATTGAGCGATATATAATTAAGTCCACTCAAAATGGTCAAAAAAAATATTTTAGTAAAAAAAAAAAATATTTTAGTAAAAAATTTCATTATTTCCATAATGACCAAAATAAGGCACGCCTTCTTGCTGTTTCGACTAAGGAATCTAGTCACTGGTTACACGTTTTACCATCAAGTAATCTCAGCACGTTACTTGATGGGGAAAGCTTGCGCATCGCCGTAAGAATCCGACTAGGAGCGGCGATTTGTCAACCCCATCAGTGCCCCTGTGGTAGCAGCCTCTACAAGTTTGGGCTCCACGGACATTCATGTAAGAAAAGTGCTGGTACGTTTTCACGACACGATTCATTGAACGATGTCATCCGAAGATATAAATGTTCCCTCGGTTTTAGAGCCTTGTGAAATATTTAGAGACAATGGCAAGAAACCCGACGGTATGACATTGGTCCGTTTTAAAATACATTTCGTATCTTGTATTTAAATACCTTTTGTTTGGTATCTTAGTATTTTGTAGATACTATATTTGGTAAAATAGTTTTTGTAATAGATATAACTGTTTCTATTGTGACATCTTAGGTGACATTAATTTTAAATGTCAATGTTTTCATAGATAAAACTGAACCCGCCATTGAATCTTTAGTCTGGGGTCAAATTGATAGATGGTGTGACAATTCTTTCTTTCTACAAAATGTTACTTTAAATTATTCCACGTAATAGTCTGTGTTTGAGGGAGACACATAAATTTTTGGTCTGTCGGTGAGAGCGAGAGAAAAATCGAAGGTTTTAGACAGTATTGAAGGTGATAGAAAAAAAAAGTCAAAGGATAAATCTTATTACACGTTTTCAGGGATTCTGATTCCTCTGTTGCAAGTGCCGAAAACACAGGACCTACTGACTACTGACTGACAGCACCGCTGACTTAGAAACATTGCAATACTTAATTAATAAAGATACCAACTTATAGAGCTTAAATGCTTATCCTACAATAAAAAAAATATTTTTCATATACAACACCTGTTTGCCAAGTTCTGCGTCTGTGGTGCACTCTTATCATTTGGGGGCATGATCATAAGGCCTCATCGAAGAAAAATGAATGATAAACTGTTTGAAGTACTGGTTTTACTTAAGTCTCAATTAAAACCAAAAAAATATAATATTCTGTTGTGTCACATTTGCGCGATCAACGCGATTTAAGTGTAAAAGAAATAAACTCATTAAAAAAAATTTGTTTTTTTACAAAAGTACTTTATCTATAAAAAGTATTCAAAAGATACGTATTTTATATCTAGTATTTCAGATGCTATTCCAGAAAGTTATTTGCATCTGGTATCTGAAATACGTAATTTAAAAGTATTTTGCTTTTTGTATTCCAGATACTTAATTTAATGTATCTTGTACATCACTGCAAATAATAAATGAAAAAATGATGAACTTACAAGAATTATTTTTATGTTACAGCTAAACATTAAGACTCGTTTTTAAGGTTAACGTCCTCTTTTAACTTATTGGATTCATCTTGTAGCGTCATGTGTAGAGGGAGATGGGACAAATATTTTTTACATCATTAAAAAACGGGAAAAAAAGCAACAAGTTAACCTATATATAATGCAACAACAGAGTATAAACTCATTCGTGTTTTTAGTTACATTCAAGAAAACCATAGAAAACAGTAAGTTATTGCACTGTTTAATTTTTTTTTACTTACTTTGAAAATTGTTTTTCTAAATCTTCAATTATTGAGAAAAATTAAATAATATTTGTTACTAGAGTAGAAACTTTAAGTTTTAAAGTTTTATACCAGTTATTTATATTTTTGGCATTTTGACAAAGTACTAATTCCATTTCTGTTGCCAAATGTTTTTCTTGCCTATCAAGTAGTAAAGGGCGACTAATGGGATATTATTTTGTTTGTGATTATTTGGGCCGTAAACCATGTATTGGTGGTGTAAGAATAAACCCACGTCTTTCCGTGGTGTAAGAGGGTGCAACTATACCATCATTTAAATCCACCCCCCATCTCCTCTAAAATGCAATTAATGGGGGAGGCCTATGTTTAGCAGTTAACTTTTAAGACTGTAATGGTTGGATGGATTTTTAATTTAAGTTTCTTTGGTTTTAGATTTTCTGTCAACATGATATATATTGTTTGTATCTTTGTTATTTTTGGACTTTATTTATTGAAAGGATATTTAAGGTCTAGACACGAACCACCGTCTCTACCTAGTGATCTCCCTATATTAGGACATGTACATCTATTAATTGGTGGTGGTTTACGTAAGTAATTTTTGATTTTCCTAATGTTTTGTTTATATTATAAAGAAACAAACAAATCCGTAAATAAATTTAGTTCAGCCTAATTTACAAGCGGAATTAAACAAGTTCATCAGGAACGAATGGTAGGGTAAGATGAGGTCGTTTTTATACCGACACTAATATTATTCTCGATAATACTTACAACTCGATACTCATTTATTGCATATACATTTATACAAAATTTCAAACTAATCGCTTCACCTATTGTTACCGCTATATTTAATTTTTTCTCATTTCGAAATATTCCCGCATATTTAAAGCCACAAATCAGATTTCCTCTCAACCTTTCATTCATTCTTTCACACCAGGCTCTGGGTGTTCTTATTCGCACGCACGTGTCTGTATTATACTGTGGCTTCGCTCGCTTTAAAACTTAAAACCACGACCGTTAACTATGTTACAATTATGTGTCTGTGAATACAAACACTCACGCCTGTCACCCATACAATAAAAACACTCACGCCTGTCACCCATACAATACAAACACTCACGCCTGTCACCCATACAATACAAACACTCACGCTTGTCACCCATACAATATAAACACTCACGCCTGTCACCCATACAATACAAACACTCACGCCTGTCACCCATACAATACAAACACTCACGCCTTTTTTGTATTTTATACGCTGTCATAATACTCGCCAGATTGCGATAAACCATTGTCAATTTATCGCCTGCACTTGCGCGAAGGTTATAGGCATAGTACAGTTAATTTACAGTAGGTGGCACGCGTATCATACCGACAAATTTATTTGAAAGTTATTATATACCATTCGATTTCAATGAATACATTACCATGCCTAATTAAACGGTATAACACTTCCAAATATAAAACGATATTTTCACAATTATTTCTTCTGCGGCAGTGACGCGCCAGGTCATAGATTACTGTATATATACTAGAGATAGATACGCGACACAAATTAAATTTTTGTTAGTGTCGTGCTTTGCCGAACAGATGGCGCTTAATTCTTACAAAAGAAGGAACTTGAAAAAAAGGGAAAAAATACACATTATTCATATATATTACTTATTTTATATTATTTATATATTATTATTACAGAAAAATACACATACACATCTGCTGGACCCGATCTGGGGTCTTTTGGTTTCGGGACGGCCCGGTTAACCACCTGAGCTATTATAACCTTGTACGTAGTGGCGAAATTTATGTTTATATTCTAATATATAAGTGTGCCCTCTATCTCAGATTAAAATAAGTCTAGCCTAGCGCTTCCGAATGTAGATGGAAGCACATAAAACGTTTTTTTTTATAGGATCGTGTGACAAACGAGCACACAGTCCACCTGATTGTAAGTGGTTACTGTGACCCATAGACATCTACATCTATCCTCAATAAAGACTCAAGATGCAGATGCGTTGTCACCCGTGAGGACTAAGATGGAATGCCTCTTTGCCAGTAAAAAGGGTCTCCGGTTCTCTACACTCACCATACGAAACACAGCAGCGTTAAGCTGCTATTTTACGCTGGTTTTCTGTGAGAGCGTGGTCTTTCCCCGGTCGAGCCGACCCATTTGTGCTACAACCATAATATAGCTGCAGCATGGCTCTACCACTTAGAAAACGTATCATTTTGTTCGTAAAATAATGTTCTAAGTTGCATGCCCATGCGCCAGGTACCAGGTAGTCAGGGGCGTAGCTACCGCCGTATCAGCCGTATCAATGATACTGGGCCCCCGGTCTACAGAGGCCCCTAACGTGTATAAACAAAAATTTGTGAAATTTTATCCCCAATGTCACTTCATCTCGTGTTTCCCGAGAAAAAACATAAATAAAACTGTCATGCGTGCCTGTAGAGTTTTCACTTCAGAAATGACATAAGTCAAAAAAGCTATCTCTTTTTTTCCCGGATTAAGCACTGCAAATCCAACTTTACTTTTAACACGCTAAGCCTCTTTAATGTTGAATGCCGTACACAAACTATAGATTTTTCACACAATATCGACGGTGGAAAGGAAAAAATTACCAAGCGACATATCGGCAACTTTACAGGAGAGCTGATTAAAGTTTGAAATTTTGAAAAAAAAAATTCATATTAATTGTACTATTTACCCTATTGGAATGATTCTTACATGATTAAAAAGCTGTTTGGACACTTTATTACCTACTTTAAGTAAGTTCCCGATTTGCTTACCATTTCCGAAGTTAGTGTCGCTTAGAAAAAAAATAAAAAAAATCACGAACGGGAAAAATCGACCTACCGACCGACCGACTCTTGAAGTAAAACCCGAAAAAAATTCATAATCAGACATTTTTGAAGAATTTGAGCGTGGAAAAAATACCTATATAATAAAAAGAACATTTCTATGATCTGATAAAAGTTATTTACCACTTCATGATTGATTAATTACTGTCTGTGATATTTTTACCAAAAACCAAATTAAAGTAAGGTTTGGCCCCTAATAATTCAATGCGGATTTTAGGTTTAAAAGGAAAAAGCACTAGTATTTGTTTATTAAACATCAATTTTTTAAATAAAAAAATATTCAATTTCGTGATTCAAAATCACTTTCCTGAAACAAAACAACCTTCTAAATTAAAATTAAAAGTACTTCCACAAGTTACAAATATCGTCAGAGACGTTCGGTTTTATAAAAATAAAAAGAATTCACAAGTATATTGTAACGCTAATTACTTAGAATTATTCAACGAACTATAAACTTTTTTATACATAGAAGAGAGGACAAACGTGCATGCGGTTCGCCTGGTGGTAAGAGTCAACCGCCACACACGAGCATTTATAACATCAGGGGAATTGAAGGCTGGTATTTTAAAGAGGAGTTAGCTCGTTTCTTTAAAGTCCCTAAGTCATATTGGTTCGGAAAAACTACCGGTTGTAAACAATTGCACAACGTAGTTGTGGCAAGGAAAGAAACTCCAAGTAAATCGCATAGTAATGGACCCCAAGCATCCAGATGGTGTGGATGGTATCGTGAGTTTTGTCACGATGTGCGTTGATGGAATTTGATGGCTAGAATTACTACAAATAATTCCTCAAATTCTCTTCGCAGCGCCAGTGAATCTTGAACTTGATAATCAAATATTCGAGCCACTTTTTGCTGGATGTGATCAAGTGGAATAATCTGGCAATGAGGTGTCACAGCCTGGAGATGTGAACAATATTCCATGTGAGGCCAAAGCCGCGTCTTGTAAAGTTACAGGCGGGGTGCCGGCATGAAATACTGTTCCGCTCTGTTGAGCGCGCAAAGCTTTTTAGAAGCCAATTCTGCCTTCTCTTCCAAGTGACCGCGGAACTCATTCGATAAATGGACGCCGAGAATGAAAAAGCCCTGAAATTGAAGGGATACAACAAAGGGGTTCTTTTAAGCGGTGAACACGCAAACCTGTGTCTTCAGAGACCAATCCAAGACTTTATTTAAAAAAGATTTTACTTCAGGTACAAGTTTGTTCCCAGAAACATTGGTACGGCCGATGTAAAATACAGCACCTGTGCTGTCATCCGTATACCAATGAATGTTACTGGTTTGCAACATATAATTGATATTAAATATAAACAGTGGAGGTGTTAGCATGCAGCCCTGTGGAACCCTACTATAAATGGGCTTGCAGTCGGAGCATGCAAGAAAACTGGTGATCCAATTGCAGAATTTCTTGGGAACCAAATGGGATGGAAGCTTCGAAAGAAGCACTTTGTGCCGAACTTGATCGAAGGCCTTTGATATGTCAAAACTAATGGCCAAGGTCTTCCTCTTGGACTCTACTGCATCCATCATCTTGGGAGTCAGGTACACTAGAAGATCACCAGCTGAGTGACCGCTGCGAAATCAGTAATGGCGGTTACTAATCAGCTGGTGGACCTCAAGGTACATAATCGGCTGGAAGTTTATAATGGTTTCCATGATTTTGGAGGACAAGGAGGTAATAGGTCTGTAGCTGAACTGTCGCTATTTTCAGGTATCGTGTACACTTAAGCTATCTCCATGAGTTCGGAACTACCCCTACGTCTAGTAGGACATGTCTTTAGCACAATATGAAGAACTTCATCAGGTTTACCCGACTTGTTAACATTTAGAGAGAGGAGTGCTTTGCGCACTGAGCACTCACACTGCAGAATGGTCAGCAGTGTGTTCCTCCCGTCACTGAGAGTCAAGTTGGATGCAAAAAGAGAGCCTAACAGATCGGCTTTCTCTTTTGCGGCATGGGCCAATGAATCGTCCTCCCTGTGCAGAGATGAAAAAGATGGCTGACAGAAGTTCCCTTGTACAGCCTTGGCGAGAGACTAGAATTCTCTACGACACGGGACTAATATCTCGCCAATTCTGCAGATTTAAGCACGAATTAGTGCACTGCTTTGCGTTAGCAATGTCTCTTTTGTAGGACCTAGAAGAGGAAATTTCTTAATTTTATTATACTTCTTATATTTTATTTAACTTCTTTTCTTCTTGGTGTTTACATCCTGGGACACCGACACGTCAGCCAAGGCCCAGTAGCACTCCTGCTTATGACAAGATGCAATTTTAATTGAGCTATCAAATCTTAGCTGGGATCTATCTCCGAGGGGCACTACAGATGATTAAATAAAAAGATACATTTCCTGAAGTTCCATATCAGCGACAAAATCAGCAAATACGTTGGAATCATCCGGTGAGAAGCAACTTTGAACTACTTCAAAATTATCATTACATTGTTTGACATTATAATGTTCAGAAACATTTTGTATTGGTAAGGAGTCCTGCAAAGAAAAACAAAATTATGTTATCATCAAAATAAAAGTTAATTATATTAACTAATCCTTGGTAGGTATATAATCGTCTAACGAGGTACTTGGGACTAATACCGGCATTAATTAAAGCTAGGTCTATTAATTTCGAAAAACGCAGGTCCTATAGCAGTTGTAAAATATGAGTAACTCAAACATTAGCACACAACTAAAGAATATTATGTAACACTTAAGTGAAAATAATTACCGCTTCTCTAGACCAAGCGGTGGTCATTGGGACGCGCGGTCTCACACCTATTCACAAAGCGCCAGCTTGTAGCACGGTAATTCAATTTTTTGTTCCTAACGACCACTTCAATATTAAATCACAACCTAGCTACACGACAGTTCAAGATCAACGCGGAAGGCTCAACTGACTTTTTAATTAATAAATATTCCTGGAAGAGATATTTTAACGCCAAAATATATTAGAAAACGGCAGGTCACATTCATCTAAGCGACAAAATTACAGGAAGGAAAAATATCACTAAACGACATCTTTTTGTTAATCAGACCTGGTAAAAAATATCTAAATGACAAATAGCTAATATTAAGGACAGGTAAAAAGGTAAGAGGTTGCAAAAAAATAAAATTTTTACGTAGGAAAAGATAGACAAATAAATTTTTAATTTTTCAAAAGGTCAGGAAAAAGTAACTTAAAATAAAAATAATTTATATCAAAAACAGGATAAATTTACTAAGTAGAAATACGGTAGATTGAAAATTGTCCTAAACGCAATATTTTTTTAAATGACGATAATTCTCGTCGGTTGGTGGCCGAAAACTACAAAAATACCTCGAATTTTAAAATAACTAAACGACATTAAATTCATCGTAGAAGCACGAATGTAGAACCAATCGACGCAGAAAAAAAAACTGATTCCAATGATATATATACCTCAATATCGACCAAAGATTCGCTTGGTAGCTTTTTCCTTACCAGCGTCGATATGAAACGTGTAAAAAGTGTGTACAAAAATTATGTATAGTTTTTTTATGGACATTTCACATTGAACACACGTTATGCGTGTTATTTTAAAAGTTTAAGTGTCGAATGCACCCAATCGACATTTAACAAATTTGGTTTTAGTAAATTTGTGAGCTTATCATTGCATTTAATGCATTTTTAACGATGGTGTAGTTATATTCAAGCAAGGTGAACGATCTTTAACTATTTTTTTTATTTCTAAACTACATGGGTGCAAATTAAATCTATACAAATAAATATAATTGAAGTGTCTATTTGTAATGTCAAAATTACAGTCTTTTACTAAATGCATATGAAAGTAAATACGATACTTATAATAGAATAATATATAATAGAATACAATCTTGTTCTTCTCATTATTTATGGGTAATTAGTTTGATTTGTGAAAAGAATGAGTGAAAGGAAAAGACAATATCCCAGTGGAGCTATGAAAAGAAAAATTAAAAAGAAAAAGGAGGAGATTATAAAAAAATGCCCAAAATTTCTTAATTTTTTCAGCAATCAGCTTCTGTGAGTGATTTAGATTGCAATGGTAAGTACTACCTACTATTTATCTGCCAGTAGCGATGGCTGAATTTTGTTTTTCGAAAGAACAATGGCAACCTTCAATATATGAAAATACCTGATCACTTATTGTAACGAGCAATATTAAGTATTTTGTTTTGATTTTCTTCATTAGTAGTTGATTATTACTTTCAAAGCCATTTTTCTCATAATGCTGGGAGAATAGATAATTTAGCACGTTAAGATTTTAGGTCCTATCGCCCACAAAATAAAATATAAATTCCGAATTTTTGACCAAATACTCATAACCTTACGTATCATACATTATTTAACATATATTTTTTTTTAATTCATCTGAACATTATTTTAGTCCTTTAGTTTCGAATAATTGAAAAAATCTTTACTTTATTAATTTTATTTAATTATATTTTTAGATTCTTTTAAAGACATTCTCCATAAGATGTCCATCCGGAAATAGAAGAAATCCAAGTTGATGATTCTAAGAAGTCTGAAGAATTTTATGATATAATTTCGTCAGGTAGAGGAAATATTGGTGACAGTCCAACTAAATTCGAACGAAAAATAATTTTTAAATTGGGTCCATTTAAACCGCAAGGACCGTTTCTAAAAGATTCAGAAACAAAGCGATGTTTTTCGGCCTATCATTTTTCATATTTAAATAAGGCAGGCATAAAAATTCTATGACCGTGGTTATGTTATTCTAATATTTTAAACAAGCCGTATTGCCGCTTCTGTTGGTTATTAGCAGATCGTCAAAGCAAATCGTACTCCTCTGCATGGGTTAACGGTATTTCCGTTAGAAGCAATTTTACGCAATGTATATTTGACCATGAAAACTCACAACAGCGTATTAATACATCCCTATCTTATAATAATTGGTTACAAGGTAATACCATCGATACTTCATTGCAAAGTGAATTCAATAGTAAAATTATATTCTGGAGAGATGTATTGCATCGAATAATTAATGTTATAATTACTTTAGCATCATCTAATCTACTTTTAAGAGGCCATGATTCTATTTCTGGTTATTTTATGTCAATTTTACGTTTACTATCTAATTATGATTCTACTTTAAAAGAACTTCTTTAAAATAAATTATTTAAGCCCTATGATTCAAAATGAAGTTATTAATTTATTTGGTACCGTAGTTAAGAATAATATTGTTTTAGCAATTAAACAAGCTCAATTTCTGGCAATTATATTATATACAACACAAGACTTGTCAAAAATTGACCAACTTTCTGTAGTTTTTCGATATATCTCAATAACAGAAAATGATGATAATGTACCTAAAGATTTAAAAATCATTTAGTCCTTTTTGGGGTTTATAGCAGTAACCGATTCCAATGCAGAAGGACTTAAACTGAAAGTTTAAATACGATTAAAGAATATGGAACTGATTTGTCTAATTGTAGAGGACAGGGTTACGATGGAGCAAAATGTTATGTTGGGTGTATATGGAGAATTACAAGCCCTTATAAAAGAGCATGCTCCGAATGCCGATTATGTTCATTGTGCTGCACACGCGTTAAATTTAATTTTAAACGATGCCGTGAAATATATTATTGAAGTGTGGACTTTTTTCGATAATTTAGAAAAAATATACACTTTTTTTAGCAATAGTATAAAACGCTGGACAATGTTGAGTAACAATTCATCTGAAAATTATAAAATCACCCTTAAAAAGGTATGTTCTACCAGATGGTCTTCAAAGTACGACGCTTTACTAGCGATAAAAAAATAATAATCATGAAAACTTTGTACCAACAAAATTTAATTTCTACTAAAAAGATAAACGTGAAGAATGTAAAAATATAATTAATAATTTAGAGAGTTATGATTTCTTAGTGCTTGTCACATTTTTTTCTTCATTATTAGAAATCATTAATCCTGTTTCTAAACTCTACATCATGAAAATAATGACTTACAGAAAGCTAGTATTTTATTAAGTAATCTTTTGAATGGACTGAGCGAAATAAGAAATCAAAATTCATTCAATGGTTTGACAAATGAGTACAGAGATTTAGCAAAAGAGTGGGGGTAACAACCGTTTTTAAAAGTCGAAAGATAACGAAGCGTTTTTTTTTTGATGAGTTATCACAAGACGAGAAAATTTCAGACTTGGATTCATATTTCAAAGTCAATGTATTGCTGTTAAGATATATTAATTTCTCAAACTAAACAAAGATTTCAGAGCCTTTGTGACCTGAGTAATATGTTAGAAGTATTACAACCGGAGAAACTCCTTACAGAATGACATGACTTGTCACTATTGTCTATACAGGCAGAAATTTTAGAAAAACTGAAATCGTCTTCAGCTAAAGATGATTTAATAAATCAATTTGCCTAAAACAAGGCAAAAAAAAAGTGTACAATTAATTAGAATTGTTTGGCTAGCTAAATTTGTAAGAGGAAGCGATAACTTATAATCAATAAATATTTATTTTAATTTAATGCAAGCATTTTTGTTTCTTTTGTGAGAAAACTTTACCCTTCATTTGGGCACCCAAACTAATTTTGATACAGGGCACGCTACAACACTGCAGCTAGTACATAATAGTTGCTAAGCGAATTATATGATGTATGGCAATTGAAATCAAAACCTAACGGTAAATAATGTCATCGTTGATAGTGCGCCCCGAGTCAATAAAATATAAAAATGATATAAGCTAATCAATCAGCAATGGAGTTTAAGTTAGTGAGTTTGGTTCAAACATCGTGCCATGTTGCGCGCTTAATTTCTTTGAATTAGTACTTCTTCGTTTAAATTTTCGTTCACTTATAAAAAAAATAATTTATATAAATAATCTTCGTATAATAGTATCCGGATGTGCCTTACGATACTAATAACGCTTTTTCGTAACTTTATCTTGTTTCTCGATATTAATAATTGGTTCGGGAGTAAGCTTTTAAAACAAAGTGGTTTCGAATAGAAAACTGAATCAAATTCGAAACCGATTTCGGAAGTAAGCCTACAGTTTTATAATAATATTTTTCAATTTTAGGTTTATGGGAATCTATAAAAACAATATCACATGAATGCTGTAAAGCTGGAGATGTTGCAAAGCTCTCATTGGGTCCTATTAAATGTTATGGTAAGCATATTTCTAGAGGGAAAGAAATCAATTCCAATATCAATAAAGCCAAACTTTTCATTGATTTATTAAGCATTGAGTTATTTGAAAACTTATAAAAAATAATGATTCTGTGTGTTCAATACTATTTGTAGACTTATTTACATTTTTCCATTGAATTTGTGGGTGTTTAAAAATATAATATGTGTTCTTAACTGTTTTCTTATATTTTACAGGTTCTTTATATTGCTAATACAATGTTATATATTTTAGGCACACCTCTATTAGTAAAACATAGTATCCTTAACAAAATATTTACCTAGAAGTGATCGAAAGATAGCGATAAACCACCTATTGGTACAGATTATCTATTGTTAGGAATGAGGGTAAAACATACAAATACTCGTAAATACGAAGAAATGAGGATAGAACTGTAATTTCCCACTCGTTCTAGCAGTATAAAGTAATCGCGTAGGTGACTAAAAGAGATTAGTCTGTAATTCTATGAGTTAAGACTCGTTGCTACTTCGATTATTAGGTTAGACTTTTTACTATGCCCGTTGGGGTATTCTATTAGTGTAGGCAAGGAATGTCGCGTTGCTGAAAGGTTGCCCTGTGTTACGTTGAGATAGGTAGCGTCGTTGTCGGTTTGCATACTTTAGTGTTATCTGGATTATAGTGTAATTGGGACCTTGACGTTACACTGGTGTGTGATTGTAACGAGAACATGTTACGGTTGATTGAATTGTATTGCTCTATACTGAATGTATATTTATGTATGATCGGTTGCGTAAGAAGTTGTGCAAGTTCAGGATTCCCTCTCACACCTTTGTTATTTTTGGCAATTATCCTCCAGATTAGTTTCTGATAGTAGTAGGAGGCTTTGGCATCAAGTAGTGTTATTTTATTTAAATCTTGAGGATAATTTTTAACGTCAGAAGTGGGATTAAAGCTTTTCATTATAGCTGTACATTCTCATTTGGAGTAGCAAACTAATGCGAAAATGTCGAGCTTACAAACCCTCATAACCAGCGTATTTAGTAGTAGCAGTATATTTAAAATACTATTGATGCGATAGTAGATAATGAAAAATTTAAAATTAACTTAATTTTAATTTTTTTTTGTCTTTTCCATGTTCATCTTAAGACTTATCCGATGGGCGACACTATTGAAGTCATTAAGCATAGTACTAAAGCCCTCCAACAATTCTGTCACAATGACTATATCGTCAGCAAATTAAAGTTGAGTGATATATTCGCCATTAATACTGATACCGTATTCTATCCAGATCAGTATTTTTAAAACTTCTTCCAAAGCAACAAGAAAAGTTTCGAGGAAATGACGTCACTCTGTTTTACACCTCTCTGTAGTTGGATAAGTTTCGTAAAACAGTAGATAGTCTTTGTCGTGTTTTGCCCTCGGATAGCCATCGTAGTCTTACGCTACAAACACTTAGCACTTCGATATACCAACAGTCAACCTAGCTCTGCTGAAGATATAGTAGCACCACCTAAATTTCGATGAAACCTATTTTTTGTACTCGTTTGGTTCTAAAGCCTTTTCGGATACCGACTTATTCTGGAGGCTGGAAGCCGACAAAACTGTTTGCGAGACGATTCGTAACAAGAATCGAAAACAGCAGCAACAGCGGCTGAGTAGGGAATTCGGTCTGAAGTTCTTCAGTAGCAAATTTTCGCCTTTTTTCATGATCTAAAATATCGCATGTCCGCTACAAGCCTCCAGTAGAGCGCCACCATTGATAACGGAACTGAACAGTATCAATGGACTTCCATGTACCAGTTTTCCACCCACTTTCAGAAACTCTGCTGTGATTCTACCAAATAAAACATTTCACAGTACTTGAATTTTTTTTAGATATCACTAACATGCTGGTTTCCCAACAATATTTTCCTTTACCGTAAAACACATAACAATAACCTATGATAAATGTAAAAACCAGTTAATTTTTCACTATTTATTTTTATCGCTGTAACAGTTTTAACAGATCCAGACGATATTAAGATTGTTGCGAACTCGTGTTTTGAGAAGGGCTTTTTATATGATTTTGCTAAACCGTGGCTAGGGGAGGGCTTGCTGACTGCACCAGGTAAGTAGAACTTGTATTTTTTATTTTATTTTATGTATTTAAAACAAAAATTAAGTCTTATTTTATGACACAGTTACAAAATGGAAAACTCACCGAAAATTACTAAATACGACATTTAATCAGCAAGTTTTAGATGGATTTTTGGATGTATTTAATAGACAATCGATGCTTTTACTTGAACAATTGGCTATGGAAGAAGGAAAAGGATCTTTTGATCATGAAAAGTATATAATGCGAAACTCCTTGGAGACAATATATCGTAAGTACCTTTATAAATATGTTTTATGTAAGTAAGAATGGAAATGAGGTAAATGGTCCTCGGTAACCGATGGGTAGCGGATATTGTAGCTCAAATGTAATAATTGTGTCAGCCAGCAACGGAATCCCCGGCATCAACATATCGTGTGATGTGAAGTCTCGCGGTCCCTTGAAGAGGAAAGCTAAATTTGCCTCTAAAAAGCTTGTGTGCTCAGCAGAACGGTACAGTATTTCATGCCGGCAAACCGCTTGTAACTTTGCAAGGCTCAGGTTCGGCCTCACATGAAATACCGTTATATATCATACCGTTATATATCATTTTTGATTATATAGCCTTGGATAGCTTAAAAAGAAAATACGATATATACTTATAATTTACTTCAAAAAAAAATTTTAAATTAGGCTCTAAATAATTACATTTCTCTATGCCACAATAATATTTTTACGAATTAGTTCATGGAATTGTTCTTAAAGCATAATAAATAAACCTAGCAAGCTAACAGCATAGCAAAGTGGCGAAGCAATCAGCTTTGTAGCGGTTTCTAACGGTTGCCGTTGAGCAATCAGTTTCAAAATAGGAGGTTCAGATGCCTGGGTGATCAGTAATCGATTGCTGAAAACAGAATTTGAAAATTCAAAACCGTTCTCGAGATAATCGTGGGACAGGCGGACAGACGGATAGACGAACACACGGACAGACGGACAGACGGACAGACGGACAGACAGACAGACGGACAGACGGACAGACGGACAGACATCGTGAAATCAATAAGTGACTTCGCAAGCTTCTCCGCTTAATAATCATACCTGAGTTCACATAAACCATTGTTTTAATCCATAACGAAGTTTTCTTTACAAAAAAGGTTGTTTGGCGCTTACTTAGTTTATTTCTTAGCGCGTGCTATCTCATAATTTGCGTACATGAAGTAATTGCATCACTTTTATTTTGACACTTCCTCATTCGTCCGTGAGCATCACAGACAAAGCCACGCCCGCAAAACTACGATTAATTTTCAAAGTATCCGCTTAAGCATGTTCAAAACGTACTTAACCATCCCAATTCAGTGTAACGAAATATGTGGAAAAACAATTGTGTGGGTTGTAAGCTTATACCCGCCTGGTTGGTGAGCGCCAAATCGAAACCACCACATTGGTAATTCTGCTTACCAGCCTGTGAGACATTTGGTGAAAGTTTGGAGAACTTGTTACCTTATACGTAACTATATGTTAATCTGTGTTTACACACCTTTATAGATTTTTAGCATAAATTATTACAATCACATTTATACAATAATAGATGTTAATGTTTGTTTTAGTAACAGCAACGGGTCTAGATTTAAGAGCCGAGAAAACACTCAACGCAAAATATGTGACCGTAACGGATAAAGTTCTCAGAAGCGTGATTCACAGAATTCAAAATATATGGTATTACAAAGATTTTATTTGGAATATGAGCAGTACAAAAAAGCAACAAGATAAAGATATTGAGTTCTTACACGGTGTGTCAAACATGGTATATTTCTAATTCGTATTGTTATTTGGTTTTCTTATTTTTCATTCTTCTTTATGTTAGTCCTCAGTGCTGGCAATACATCCGCAGCTTTCTTTATTTGAATTTGGTAATATGGTGGACAATTAACTCTTTAATCATGCAATATCAATAAACGTGTTACAATAATCAAAATTGAAAAAAAAATCGACACCGAAAACTGCGACACCAGTTTTTTATGTTAAGACGTAGTGCATCGAAGAAGTGGAAAAGCTATTGTATGAAAATTATTTTATGTTTTAGCTATTTCACCTTTTGAATGTACAAACAAATAAAATCGTTTGGAAAACCCAAAAGTGCACAAAAAAATAAATATAGTGACACTAATTTTTACAATAAAAAAACAGAGAATCTAATCGTCTTTGATAAAAAAAAACTTTGCAACGGTGTCGGGTTCAATAACAAATCTTAATAGGGATCCTCCTAAGAATATCATCGTCATCATCATTACAGCCCTTCACAAGTCCACTGCTGAACATAGGCCTCCCCCAAGAAATGCCACAAAGCACGGTCCTGAGCCACCTGCATCCATCGACTTCCTGCATGTCTTACCAGGTCGTCACTCCATCTAGTGAGGGGACGCCCTACACTTCGTCCGCTAGTACGAGGCCGCCACTCGAGAACCGTTTTCCTCATCGGTTGTCGGTTCTTCGAGCTATATGGCTGGCCCATTGCCACTTCAGCTTACTAATCCGTTGGGCTATGTCGGTCACTCTGGTTCTACTGTGGATATCCTCATTTCTAAGTTTATCACGCAGAGAAACTCCGAGCATAGCCCTCTCCATAGCTCGCTGAGTGACCTTGAGCTTCCTCATCCGGCCAGCAGTGAAGGACCACGTCTCAATTCCATAAGCAACTTCAATACAGCTTGTATTGAAGAAACTCCAAAGTCTTTGACAAAAATCTGCTCTGCCGAAAAGAGCCAACTGTCAAATTTTAACACTGAATCGCGTGGCATCGTATCCGGAACACCTGAGATTTTGAGTGAGATTGAGAGGTTCTACGGATAGCAGTACACATCATAATGGGAGCCACACGCAAGTGTAAGTAACGACACAAGAGCAAATCTCATCCGACCTTATTCTGATGATATGTCGGACGTCAGTTTGAGCGAGCTTAGAATGGCTATCTGGCACTGTAAAATTGCAAGGCCTCGAATGAGGATGGATTTACAACAGAGCTTCTGAAAACCAGTACTTAAAGTCTTTCAGAAGCTTTTAAATTCCGTTATCTATGCTAGCACTACTGCGCAGGCGTGGAGCAGAATTACAAACTTCCAGTTTTTTGTTCCGAAAAGGCTTATGTACCATAGATCACAAATGGTATGTCAAATGCATAACCTTCAATGAATTGTACAGAAGACCGAAAAGTATAATCCACTTTTCCTTGCGTATCTGGACAATGAAAAAGTATTTGATTCCATCGAATTTTGGGTGGTGCTACATTCCCATAAACGGTGACACTGTGATGTGCGAAATGTTTATATACTTAGGGCTAAGATTGCTATTTGAGTCCAAAACTAGAGTACAAAATGTATTCAACTGCAGAAAGGTGTAAGACAGGGTGACGATATACAAATATACCCAAAACTTTATTGTTGTATTTATTGTTTTCAAGCTACTATATTGAAAAGGTGATATCAACATGAGTGGCGAGTACATCACTTATCTTCAATTTGTTGACCATGTAGTCATTATCGCACAGAAGCCATTGTGCGGACGCCACTAGTAGGGCTACCCCATGGCTGCCATGTGTGCACGAAAGCGTACACCGCATAGGTGAAGGTGCGAGTCTGATATAACATGGTCGGTTAAAATGATTTCTCTTTCCTCGAATTTTTCAGATCGTAAAGGAACGTAAGCAGTATCATTCAAGTCCTATTAAGAACTCAGGTTGGTTAAACACCAAAAAGTGCATTTCATTTAGCTTATTATTTCATTTTTTTAAATATTTTCGTCTTACAGGTAAAAATCTTAAATCATTTGGCGATCTGCTATTCGATCTGGAAGGTTCGAATGGCAAAAGCGCTTTCTCAAATCAGGACGTTATAGACCACGTTAATACTTTGATCGTAGCTGGTTATGACACTATTGCAACAAATCTTGTAATTACACTTCTCTTAATTGGCTCGTATAAGGAAGTTCAAGATAAAATTTACAAAGAGTAAGTATAAGATAGTTTTTTTTTTATAGGAGAGGGGGCAAACGAGCATGCGGCTCACCTGATGGTAAGTGACTACCGCCGCCCATGAACAACTGCAACACCAGGGGAATTGCAGATGCGTTGCCGGCCTTTTAAAAAGGAGTAGGCTCTTTTCTTGAAGGTCCCTAAGTCGTATCGGTCCGGAAAAATCGCTGATGGTAATCGATTCCACAAGGAAGTCGTGCGAGGAAGAAAACATCTTCTAAATCGCACAGTGGTGGACCGCCAATCATCCAGATGATGTGGATGGTATCGGGAGTTCTGCCGCGATGTGCGTTCATGAAATTTGGCGACTGGGATTAATCCGAACAATTCCTCAGAGCACTCCCCATGGTAGATGCGAAAGAAAATGCAAAGAGATGCAACATCTCTTCGCAGTGCCAATGAATCGAGCCGATCGGAAAGGGTTCGGTCGTCGACGATTCGAGCCGCTCTGCGCTGGATACGGTCAAGTGGAAGGAGCTGGCACTGGGGAGCCCCGGCCCAGAGATGGGAACAGTATTCCAAGTGAGGCCGAACCAGCGCCTTGTAAAGTTGCAGGCGGTGTGCCGGCATGAAATACTGTCCCGCTCTACTGAGCACGCCAAGCTTTTTAGAGGCCAATTTGGCCTTCTCTTCCAAGTGACCACGAAACTGCACGTCACTCGATATGTCGACGCCGAGGATACCGATACTGGCTGAGGCAAGAAGGGGAGTGCCTTGAAACTGAGGAGATACGACAAAGGGGTTCTTTTTAGAGGTAAACGCGCAAACTTGTGTCTTCTGAGGATTAAACTGGACTAGATTTAGTCGCCCCCAATCCGAGACTTTGTCCAGCAAAGACTCGACTTCAGACACAAGTTTGTTCCGGTACTCGGCGACGTTTTCCCGAGAAATATTGGCCCGGCCGGTGTATAGAGCATCACCAGTGCTGTCATCCGCATAGCAATGAATATTACCAGTTAGCAACATATCATTGATATGCAGAAGAAACAGCGTTGGTGATAGCACACAGCCTTGTGGAACGCCAGCGTTAATAGGCTTGTAGTCAGAACATGCACCGTCTACAACGACCTTGATGCTCCGATCTGCAAGAAAGCTGGTGATCCAATTGCAAAATTTCTCGGGAAGCCCATAGGAAGGCAGCTTCGAAAGAAGCGCTTTGTGCCAAACCCGATCGCAGGCCTTCGCAATGTCCAGACTAACGGCCAACGCCTCCCCCTTGGACTCTACTGCCTCCGCCCATCTATGGGTCAGGTAGACCAGAAGATCACCAGCTGATCGACACCGACGAAAACCGTATTGGCGGTCACTAATCAGCTGGTAATCCTCAAGGTACCGGATGAGCTGGCAGTTAATAATGGATTCCATTATTTTGGAGAACAAGGAGGTGATCGCGATAGGCCTATAGTTGGACGGGTCTGAGCGGTCGCCTTTTTTAGGGATCGGGTGGACAAAAGCTGTCTTCCATGAATTCGGGACTACGCCTTGGGAGTAGGAGTACCGGAAAAGACGCGTTAGGACCGGTGCCAACTCCGGAGCACACGTCCTCAGCACAATTGGGGGGATTCCGTCAGGCCCACTCGACTTCTGGATGTCCAGGGAGAGAAGTGCTTTGCGAACTGAGCGCTGTGAGAATAGCACATCCGGCATGGAGCACTCACACCGCGGGATGGTCGGCGGTATTTTCCCCCCGTCATCAAGAGTCGAGTTGGACGCAAAAAGGGAGCCTAAAAGGTCGGCTTTGTCTTTTGCGTCTTGGGCCAGTGAGTCGTCCTCCCTGTGCAGAGATGGTAGTGATGGCTTACAGAAATTCCCTTGGACAGCCTTGGCGAGAGACCAGAATGCACGGGTTCCCGAAGGAAGGCGAACTAGTTTCTCGCCAATTCTGCCTATGTGCTCTGACTTTGCCTTGGCAATAACTCTTTTGAATTACCTGGAGGCGAAGTTATACTTCTTAAGTTATACTTCTTAGTTATACTTCGTTACACACAGATTTAAAAGTTAACAGTTTAACAAACAACTCTAGACAAATGGCTCTGGTCCCTAATATACGCCACCTTATGTCACTTAACTGTACCAATCCTTTTTCTTTTAAACTGCAACTTTTTTTTAGTTTGAAATAACACTCGCAGAAATAATCAGCAAGTACAAATTAATTAGCCTGTGTATGACAGAGGGACGTTATATCCCCTAAACGATATCCCTGTATTAGAAGATGTTTTCAAGTTACTACAGTGGGAATGGGCCGGCCATATACCCTGAAGAATCGAAAACCGATAGGAGAGAAAGGTTTTCGTGTGGTCTCGATGGATGCAGGTGGCCCAGGACCGTGTTTGTGGCATTGCTTAGGGGAGGCATATAGAATAGAATAGAAGAATAGAATAATTTTTTATTCAATATAGATCACATGTGTAATTCTTATTGAAAGTCATTTTTTACTTTATGTTCTGCAATGAACTTGAGTAATGGTGATGATGAGGAGATATGTGATTTTTACTGAAGCGGAGCATATTGTAGCCCTCTTATCCCTCACTTCAATGCAATTTTTATTGCTATCACTTTTGCAACTAATTGCCAGATTTTAAATTATTATCGTAGATTATCTTCGCTAAGTAATAATAATTATTATCTATATATCTATTATTTATTATCTGCGATGTGTAAACAGTGCACTTCTTCACCAAAACAAAGCGGACGTAGCCCTTTTATCTCTGACCCTGATGTAATTAGTTTATTTTTATCTTTTGGAAATCTAATTGTCTTAATTCGCTGAAATTTAGCACAGATAATTTGCTTAGTGTGAACAGTGCATAGCTTTATTTTAGAGCTATCTTTATTTACCTAAATATAAAGATATTCATATTTCCATAAAATATGTTAAAAATACCCAAGTGTCACCTAATGACCGAATGATGGCATAATGCGTGGTAAATTTTTAAGACTTGTGTATTGACTACCTGAAAATTATGAGCAACGGTAATATTTTAAAATTAGAATTTATATATTCTTACGTCTGTTTAATTATTTATTCGTTCCGTTCTGTAATTTGGTTAATGTTGTTTATCCCGTCCTTTTAAAATATTAAGATAAATCTCTTGTGCGCAACTGGACATTCTAAGTTTTATTACTAACTTTTCAATACAATATAAAAATCATGTTTTAAATTTTATACGCTATTGCCGCATAAATTTGCAGTAGTTTTCGAAAATAAAAACATATTTTCGGAATTAAAGAATAATGTTTTATGTAACTAAATTTTTTCGTCTTTCTGTCTATAAAATATCGGAAATATAATCTGTAAGTACGTATGTGACGCTGCTGGAAGCGACTCCTGCAAGATTTGCAGTGGGACACCACAGAGTGTTAATGTTAAACTCATGCGTTATGTTTTTTGAGTTTATTATGGTTTTATAACTTTATTTTATACATTTCAAGACTGAAAAGTAACACAAAGTTTTTATTTACATTAAGGCTTGAAGATGTGTTTGGGCAGTCCGACAGGGATGTTGAAAAGGAAGACTTACCACGTCTTACATACTTGGAGGCGGTTATAAAGGAATCTTTGAGGCTATACCCAATTGCTCCTATGATAACCCGACTTATCGACAAGGATTTAAAATTAAGTAGGTCTTAAATTTATAAGTTATATTTATTTCTTATGAACTTACTCTCCAAACAACAAAACTTATTTGCAAAATAATTGTTAAAGCAATTCTAAAAGGTTTTAGTAAAAATAGTATAAGTTGAATAACAGGTTACAAACTCCTCGCTGCACTTTTACCACCTCTAATTATTGAGAGGGGCTTGGTGGAAAGAGCTTCGGCTGTTCATCACATGCCCTCATAATACTTTGTTTTTTCAGATATGCAGGCTACCTCGCGATGTGGTCCTTCACTACCGAGCATCTGATAAATCAATACCCAAACCTGCTATTAGCAACATCAATTTCACTGGTTTTTTTTATAGGATAGGGTGACAAACGAGCACACAGTCCACCTGATGGTAAGTGGTTGCTGTGGCCCATAGACATCTACATTTATCCTCGTTTGCGAATTAAAATGCAGATGCGTTGTCACCCGTGAGGACTAAGATGAAACGCCTCCTTTCCAGTAAAAAGGGTCTCTGGTTCTCTACACTAACCATACGAAACACAGCAGCAAGTTGCTATTTTACGCTGGTATTCTGTGAGAGCGTGGTACATTCCCCGGTCGAGCCGACCCATTCGTACTACAACTATACTACTAATACAGCTGCAGCATTGCTCTACCACGTACAAAACTAAACGTATAAAAATATGGTGGGGCTGGGGCTTAGTTTGCTTGCACGTACTAAGAAATTTAAGGCAAACATCCAGTCGCTGTGGTCCGTTATCGTGTAGTAGCGGTGTGAGAATATGTACTACCCCATATTATCCAGTGGGTGTCGTAAGAGGCGACAGAGGGAAACAAATCAGGAAATGGGCAGCAGCGTCTTCCTAATAATGTTGGCAACCCGCATCCCATGTGTGGCAACTATGACAAATATCCCCCCCCCCCCCCCCTCCCATGAGGCAATCTAAGAGGAGCAGTGGACTTTAGTAGGCTGTAACGTAATTTTATTCTGGAATCTATCACAATCGTCTGATGATAAGAAGATTATATATATATATATATATATATATATATATATATATATATATATATATATATATATATATATATATATATATTACGATAGTAAAATGTAATTAAAATATTTTGTTTACTTGCAGAAAATTATACTTTATATTCTGGAAAAATATGTTTGTTATCCATCTATGGTGCACACCGACATCCTGTGTGGGGTGAAGATGCAAATGATTTTAAGCCGGAAAGGTGGCTAAACCCCGAAACCTTGCCAAAGAGTCCAAATTCTTTTTTAGCTTTTAGCGTGGGAAGAAGAAATTGTATAGGTAAAAATACTAAAATATGATTTTTAAAAATGGACCAAGAAACTTTTTGTTTTTATTTAACAATATATATTTTTAGGTAAAGCTTACGCGATGATGTGGTTGAAGACAATTATTTCACATTTTTTGCGTAAATATCTAGTTACTGGCGATCACAAAAAAACTGTGCTAAAGTTCGATTTCCTGCTTAAACCTTATTCCGGCCATTACATTGCTATTGAAAGAAGAAAGTGAACCTAGAATTCGAAATTAGTAATCTAGCGTAATACGGTAGTTAATAAATAATAAATTTCTCTTTCCAAATGCTACTTTTTAGTTATAGTTATGTTAGTTACATGAAAATAATTGTTTGGAAAAACTAAGACTTAATCTAGATACGCCTAGTTACTGAAACTATGAGGTTTACAGTAATATGTTTGTAATAACTAATAAAGAAATAACAATCCTATAGTTGTTTTCTTTGTCAAGCGCATCAGTTTTTTGAATTATGCATACCAATTATTGGGTTATTAAATCAATTATTGGGTTATTAAATCAATTATTGGGTTATTTAATCAATTATTGGGTTTTTCCGTCAAGTAATAATCAGTAGCAGCCGGGAATCAGCTGTTTAGCCTAATGGTTCACTGGGAGAAAATGCCCTATAGCTATGGCAATAAGTCCGCAATATGTACAACTTTGTGCATGAAAGATTAAATAAATAAAAATCAGGAAGTTGACGGTGTTTCACCTAGGAAAGCCTACGGTAATGAAACCGTACGGTTTCTTTACTAATGTGCCGGTTCTATAAATTTTACATTTGAGGCAATGAGATGATAATGACATTTCAATCAAATGTTTTTTTATTTATTTATAGCCTACCTACCTAAAAAACTTACCTAAACAAATATTATCAGCTCCGCCAATTGTACTTAGATTGGTAGGTACACATGCGTCAATTTCTCGCCTTTGTAAACGCCGTAAAGACTCACCTTCGTGTAATCTTTGCACACAAAAAATATTTCGAAGATGTGTAAAGTTCGCCAACACGCATTAATGCAGCGCGGCCAACATTTATTTTCCATAAAACCCTCTTAAAAATGAGAGTAACCTGTGCCCAACAGTGGAACGTATATAGGCTGTAACTTTTTACTTTTAACTTTTTTTTTTCGTCACTCATAGTAGTATACTACTCATAGGCATAGTTTGCGGCAATATAGAAAGAAAACATCATTCGTGTTCTTAGTTAACTAAACTTCAGTAAACCGTTAACTATTGTTGCGTTACGGAAGTATTCAATTATGTTAACTATAAACAAAAATAATGTTATTATCTTGCAATCGTTTTGTTTTTTATGTTGTATGAGGAATATTTTAACTATACACGTAGTAGAGCCATGCTGCAGCTATATTAGTAGTATTGTTGTAGCACGAATGGGTCGGCTCGACCGGGGAAGGACCACGTTCTCACAGAATACCAGCGTAAAATAGCAGCTTAATGCTGCTGTGTTTCGTATGGTGAGTGTAGAGAACCGGAGACCCTTTTTACTGGAAAAGAGGCATTCCGTCTTAGTCCTCACGGGTGACAACGCATCTGTATTTTGATTCACAAACGAGGATAAATGTAGATATCTATGGGCCACAGCAACCACTTACCATCAGGTGGACTGTGTGCTCGTTTGTCACCCTATCCTATAAAAAAAATATTGCAGGGAACGAGAGTAAAAAAATAAAAGGAAATACGAACAAACGAAGGTAGAATGGTAAGCTCCCACTTGTTTTAACTGTATTGAGTATCACGCAACTGACTAAAAGAGATACTACGAGTCTCATGTCGTTATTATTCCCGTTGGGCTAAAACATTACCTCTACACTGAGATTCTGCCTAAGTAAGACATATGATGTGGTTCTGTTCATGAAGTAGTTCTTCTAGTGTAAGCCAGGAAGATCGAGTAGGAGAGGCTGCCCTGTATTACATTGAGATGAGTAGTGTTGCTATTGCTTTGCATACTTTGGTGTTATCGTGTAATTATATCTTTCATGTTACACCGATATGTGATTTTGACTGGTACATATTACGGTTGGTCGAACTGTATTTGTGTTGCTGTACGCTGTCTTATTCCTGATAATAATTAATTGCGTAAGCAAGAGAGCAAGTTGAACATCCGCACCCACACTTTTATTATTTTTAACAATTATCCTTCAGTGTTATATCTAATACGAGTAACATTATTTTATTTAAAAAGTTTTAAGAATAATTTCTAACATCAGAAGTGGACTTTACTTCACAAAACTCGACATAAAAATAATCAAATTAAATTTTAATTAAATAATATTTGTAAATTTTATGTGGATTGATTACCTCTGCCAGGAATTATCTAGCAACTAAAGCGAAACAGCAAGCAGCGGCGGCCGGCGGCGGCGTATACGCGCGCGCCCCCGCGCGCGCTTGACATAGCTACACTAACTGCACTAAGGATGTGACCTAAGCACGTCACTCAGCTGTTATCGCTTTAGTAGTCGTTTATCACAACTTTTAAAATTGTATTTCGTCCGATCATATTAATTATACACAAACACTAATTTATCACTATTTCTACTTGACGACCACGAAGATATCGTTCAATATGTACGCCTTGTTTCTCTATGCATTTGCGACACCGGCTTATAATGTCTGAACGCACGCGTTACATAACAGATATTTCGGACTTTATTATTCAAAGGATGCGACTATTTGTGTACGCATTTCCGCCTCGGTATCTCATGTTTTTTTAGAATACAGACTGTTTAATCGCACCCCAGAGATAAAAATCAAAAGGTACGAGATTAGGTGATCGCGCCGGCCAGTCGGTGCGAGATGGATTGGCCGTGGTGAATCAGTCAGATTCACCACGGCCTATCCATCTCGCACCGAATTCAGTATCCGAAAAATTTCTTACACAACGAGAGAAAGGTTGCGCCATCGTGTTAAAACCACATGCGACGAACGAAGTCTAGGTTAATTTCTTCATGTTAATTGCTTAGGTCTTCTCGCAAAAAGCGTCCGTAGTTTCCACCGCTCATTGTGTGGTCAGGAAAATACGGACCAATAATTTTGTCACATATAATTCCCGCCCAAACATTGATTTTCCATCGGTGTTGAAAGTGGCTTAGTTTATAGGAATGCGGATTAGTCGTCAACCATACGTGTTCATTATGAGCGTTAAATACGCCTGTACTAACAAAAGAGCATTCATCCGTGAAAAGTACGCGGTTCAAAAACTCAGGATCTCCTTCAACCTTATCGAGTAACCGTCTACACTAATCCATTCTCGCCTCATATTCGTTGGCAAGAAGACACTGAACTCGACGATAATGATACGGGTGCTGGCCATCATCTTTGAGGGCTCTCCAAACACGCATATGGTTCACACCTAGTTCACGTGCCACCGAGCGGGTGCTTTCCGTCGAATCTTCCCCAAACATGTCAAGAATGTGCTCCTCGATGTCGTCGTTGTAGATTTTCGGTCTTCCTGAATCTGTACGTTGTTGATCACGGCCATGCACACTGCCAGTATTGTACATACGAATGTGAATTCATTGGAACGTCATCGCCGACGGCAATTGTATATTTCATGGAGTAAAGCAAAGCGCTCCTCGTAAAGTATTCGTGCTTCTGCATAATTGCATCCACATTTCCTTTGAGTAAGACATCGCACACAGCACAAGTCACTCACGACGGATACTTAATTTCGCTGTATAAAAAACAAATCAGTTGGGAAGTAATTTATGCGGGCGAACAGCTATCGATATCAACGCACGCGCAATACTGAAGCTTTAGTTTGTTGTTTGTAATATATATGGGCAACAACCAGTCCGCAGGCCGGATCCGGCCCGCTGTAAGATATAATCCGGCCCGCGAGACATTTTGAAAAAAGCCAATTAAAAAAAATATTACATTAGGTACTTATACTCACGGGAGTGACAGTGAGGCGGCAAACATCAAATCCTTTTATGTTTGCGCCTCACAGTTTGATAATCGCGGCCACTCGGCTTGCTCGATCAAATTCTTTGAGGTTTGCCGCCTCACGAGCGAAACATCAAAAGATTTATTGCTTCCCAATTATTCTAAACTAGTTTATTCCAGATTATTCCTGCATTTTGCCTATATAAGCGGGTGGATAGCCCGAACGTTAGTTCAGTTCTATTTGAGCTACCGAGGTGATAACTTGGACAAGCGATATCCTAGCGAACTGCTCGAGCCGTCAACTTGCTTTGTGACTTTGGTTTGACGAGTGGTTACTAACTATAGTTTGTTATTAAGTTTATTGAACGAAAAGTAAACAAAAATTATGTCTGGTGGAAAGAAACGAAAAGTAGATAAAGAAAAAAAACTGCGGTTGCCAACCCGCCTGCCAGAAGTGGAAAGTATGGCAAATACCCCCCTTACGAAATTATCTGTGGGGAGGCCTATGTTCAGTAGTTGACTATGATAGATTTTAATGAACGTAATTTCAGAAACTGTTAGATCACGTCAAAACATCGTCATCTACTTAGAGGGCCTAAGAATTTTCCTCGTTAAATGACTTCGTAAAATGATATTTGTAAGATATTATAAAATATAAAATAAATATTAACATATCAAATATTATTAGGTATGAAAGAAGGGAAATGGGATATTCATAAACTGCCAACACATTATTAAAATAAAATAAATTTCATTATAATTTCTATCATTTTTAAATTTAAATTTTTGGAGAATAACTGTGTGTAAATAGGTATAACCATTTACACAAAAACCTTGGAGGCGCTCACCGCGCAGCGGCTTTCTTTGTGGCAGCCGTGTCAGTGACCTCACAGCGGCCGTAGATAAAAATATGTCGGCACGTGTCAGTAAGTTCAAAAGCAAATAACATTTTTAGAAATGTTAAATTTAGTAAGTTATCTGATTAGAAACTCTAAAATTCCATTTACAGCAACCAAAAAAAATTTCGGGGTTTTTGTTATGTACTGTATATATTGATGAAAATTCGATAAATAGTGATTGTAGTATTAATTTGTGAAAGGAGAATGCCAGATTCTCTATAGGATTTTGCCCCACCCAAAAGTGTGGTGTACACAAATGCCGTATGCAACATTTTTTTCTACTTTATTAGTCATTCAAATCATATAATTTGAAGTCTCTAGAAATTGCGATTTTTTTTAAAACTGGACTTTAATAATTACATTTACCTTATTTTTTAGAACAGCATTCGTTGCAGTTTATTGTAATTTCAGAATATAAATTGTCAGGCGCTAGCGATTTTTTTTTTTTTTTTTTTCTGAAACTTACAACTATCATTACAGGATTACCTAATGCGATAATGTAGCTGTCTAACTGATTTGTATTCATGATTTAATTTTTGTAACAAATTACAAGCAATGCTGTATTTGTGAATTCACTCAGAGTACAACAGAACAGGTCCGTCTCACTAGCTATTGAGTTGAGCGTATGGAGTGCGCGCGTCAGAGGCGCCTTACTCAAAAGGTTGGTCCGACCGCACGGCTCCACCAACAGTCGCGGCTGCCGTCGGCGCCACACATACCTCTCACCCCCCTCGTTTACACTCTCGCGCGAACGGCGAGGCGAGTCGCGAGGCTAACCACGAGGCGCAAGTGTAAACCCTAGCGGCGTTCGCGTCGGAGGCGGTTTTGTGGGCACAAGGCAAAGGGCCTCACGAGCGATGCGAGCGTGGTCTTTACACTCGCGCTCTCGTTTTATTTTGTTTCTTCCATAATAACATTCAGATTGCTTTTGTTTTAACCCTCTGTAGGGCAAGATATCCAATTTTAAAACTAAGTGGTGAAAAATGTTAATTGAAACAAATAAATATACACGTGTTCCGGGAAAAATCTTTTTATTTTTATTTATTTGAGAAAATCAAATTTAAAGGGAGTGTGACATAAATGTCACACTGCATCATAAAGGTAACTTAACTTAGGTGAAATTGTTTGAAACAATTGTTATGTTTATTGTAGCACAAAGCAACGCCACACTTCTCGCATATTGTTTGCGAGACACCAGAGCATTTAGGAAATTTGCAGCGAATTCTCTTTTCTGTCCAAACAGGCCAGTGTCCTGTCTGATCCTGCCTGATTGCCACTGGAGGAATATGTTGTGCTGGACCTTTGTGTCGTTTTGATTGAAGTTCGTTTTCGATAGATCGACGGTTCTTTATCTTCGATGGTACACTAAGCTTACATAAAGTTGTAGCAACTTGAAGCCGAAAATCAGCCGAGTTCAAATGTTTTTCCTGCAATCCCTTAGCCTTTTGAATTCTTTTGTAAAGAAGCCATGCGTTTGCTATACTCAAGTCCAATAAATGATAAAACATTCTAACCTGCCACCTTTTGCTACGAAGCCGTATTTTGTAGCATCCCATGATGCTATCAATAAGGTCTACGCCACCCATGTGGCGATTATATTCTCCAACAATATTTGGACGATCAATTGTTATGTACTGCTTGGTCTTCTTGTCATACCTCCTCACCTGTGCTTTTGGCATTTCTCCGACAAAACTGGATGCTAAATTTACTACTTTGTTATCTTTCCAGGCTACGGTTGCTGCATCCACACCGTTGACATCAGCAACATACTCAACAGAATAGCCTCTGTCTTTTTTGGACATTTCTTTGTCTGTAGGTAATTTGCAATCTGGAATCCTGTTTCGGCGTATTGTACCAAGACTCAGTATACCGTTTTGTGACAAGTATTCTAGCAGTGGCAAGCTTGTAAAGTAATTGTCAAAATATAATCTGTAATTTTGGTTGCGAGGTATTTCTCTTGATAGACGCACGATAACATTTGAGGAAGCACCAAGATCAGGTTCGTTGGGCAGTACCACATTTTCTGAGCCAGTTTCGGGTTCGATTTTATACGCAAATCCAGATACTCCACTGAGAACGTAAATCTTATAACCCCATTTGTGAGGCTTTTTCGGGTTATATCTTTTCAAGTTATTTCTAGCTTTCGTAGAGCATATTTGCTCATCGACGCAAAGATATTGTTCTAAAGGGATTTCAGAAAAAGATTGGTTTAATTTTTGTACAACTGGTCTAAGTTTGAACAGTCTGTCGAATTCCGGATGTTCGCGAGGCAAGTTTTGCAAATGGTGCTACTCCAATGATGGGTAACTCGAGGAAGCTGTACCAAAGACATGATGTACACTATGCCAATAAATTGCTGGATGTCTGTTGTGGAAACCCGAAAATTATTATTGGGATCCTTTTGCACAATATATAAATTAGTTTGAGTTGCTATAAAATCAATTAAATCTTTAGAAAACAAGGACAAGAAAATCTGGATCGGCGTGTCAAGCTCTAGAACATTTGTTGGTAAGTTTTCGTTTCCAAGAAAACGTAACTGATGCTCATTCAAAAGCAGGCTTTTCATTTTCCATCGCAGGTTGAGTTTTAGTGGCTTTCTAGGTTGTACCACAGATTGGGTTTGTTGCGATCTAGTTGGCACAGCAGAAGTAGATGGAGACGGATCAGGTTGATTGTCTTCTAAACTATGAATGATCTCTTCAAGGTTCACTTCATCATCTTCATTTTCATCGCCAGAAAACTGCTCTTGTTCCATCTCATCCTCAGCTCGATAATCAGGATCTGCAACACTGTCATCGTCATCTTCCATACCATCTTCACTGTCTTCGTTTATTTCATTCAATAATTTGGCTATTTCGTCAGCCGGAAGAGGTCGAAAAGTCATTCTAAAAAGAAAGCAAATGAACCATGTAATGAGCTGCTTCATAAAAAAAAATACCCACGTTAGGCAATGTGACATTTCTGGTACAAACAAGCCAGACAGTCAAACTCAACGAAGGCATTCAAATACATAAAATCCCACAATACACCACAAAGTATATGTACTCACCTTGTATATTTTCGAAATCTACACAGTATATATCGCGTTTTTCAATTTTTTACAGATTTTTAATCATTTGTAAAAAGCAAGCAGGTAGTTTAGAACGCGCGGTCGACAAACAAGTGCTGTCACGCGGCACTAACGGCATCTACATTATTTGTGTTAAACTAAGTCGATACATCGGTTTGTTACAGTCATGTTACAGTGTCGCGAAATGGACTCGAAATAATATTTTAATTTTAAATGACAAATAATCGGTTTGTGACAGAAATGTCACACGGCGCTACAGAGGGTTAAATTTACAATTTTAATAAAATAATATTATTTAATCTTGCACAATAGGTACTAGCAATTTATATAAAATTATTAAACTGAAAAGGTTCTGTTTCGATGAATAGATATCGTCCACCATATTCTTCCTCAACGAGGTATTTTTTTTAATTTCCTTCTTTTTAAAATGGTCTAGCATCGATAAATACTTATTAAGGCAAGAGTTGATACGCTACTATTTCGACGTGTTTCATCGTCGCTGGCTCAACGCAAACTGTACGCATCGCGATAGTGTAAACAGGCACTCGTTACCTCGCAACAACACGCGAGCTGCGAGGCGAGGTACGAGGCGTGGTACGAGGCGAGGTACGAGGCGAGGTACGAGGCGAGGTACGAGGCGAGGTACGAGGCGAGGTGGCAAGAGTCTGAACCCGCTATGATAGCGGGTTCAGACTCTTGCCTCGCACCTCGTCTCGTTCAGGAACACATAGGTTTAATTGCCCTAACGTTTCAGCGCTATGCAATTTTCCTCTGAGTATTTTAAAAATATACGAGGTGTGCCCAAGTTGCCTTCTAACTCTTAGTTCGTTATATCCTATCATATCTAAGATAAACAAAGTTGGATACTTTAGAGGATAAAATGGGTATTCTTTTTTTTTATAAGAATAGTGTGACAAACGAGCATACAGTCCAACTGATGGTTAGTGGTTGCTGTAGCCCATAGGCATCTACATCTATCCTCGATTACAAATCAAAATGCAGATGCGTTGTCACCCGTGAGGACTAAGATGGAATGCCTCGGTTCCAGTTAAAAGGGTCTACGGTTCTCCACACTCACCATACGAAACACAGCAGCGTTAAGCTACTATTTTACGCTGGTATTCTGTGAGAGCGTGGTCCTTCCCCGGTCGAGCCGACCCATTCGTGCTACAACTATACCACTAATATAGCTGCAACATGGCTCTACCACGTCCACCATATATTCACCATAATAACGCATATATAAATATCTAATAAATTTATTCTGTACTCGCTCTAGCATGAGACTATACTTAGTTTCATGCGGAGCCCAGACGACTGCATTACATTCAAATTGATTCCGTACCAAAGTATCATACAAAGCGACAATCGCTTTAATGTTTGTGAATCCTCGGTCCGTACGAAGCATAAATCCTAGTTTTCTATAAGCTTTTTTACAGATGTTTATGATGTGATCATGAAAAGCTTGATATATATAAATAAGAATTTAAGAATTTAAATCCTTACATTGGAAAAAGGGTTCTCTTGAATAGGATCTAAAAGGTACTTAGTCCTTACACAATATAAGACTAGCACCACCTGTTTTTCATAAAATATAATTCCTAATCATGTAAACGAGTTATATTATTTACGAAATTATTTTTCAAGATACATATTATTATGACATGTGTCTGAAGAAGGTTTAAATATTTAGAGATTAGTAACTATTTTTACGACAACGACAGGACCATAAATTATTAACTATATAAAAAAGCTATAAAACTAAAATATATCTGTTGCAAAGATCTCCATGTGAAAAGAAGAGTTAAGATTGTAAATCGAAATGATGACACAAAATGCCCCTGCATCTTATCGACGCAAAGATGACAATTATGGCATCTCAACATCGTGGATGCAATTATTAGAATGTCCGTAGTAATTAGCAGTAAGTCAATAAGTAGGCGTGATTGAGTACGTGTATTAATAAAAGCATAAGTCGTCAGCAAAAGCAGGAAAAAGTGCAACGGTAAAGAAAGCGGGATTCAGCACAAGCAAAATGTGATATACATAACATATCATAAACATAACATCAATAATTGTTATGCAGTAATTATCTAATGCAATTCGTGATTATTATCGACTTATAATAATAATTGAAAATAAAAATTGATAAGTAACATTTTTATATGAAAAACACTTGTATTTTAATAGAAATATGTATTGTTTGATACTTAATGCGTACGTATGCACTTATTCGTACAAAGAAACGCAGATGTTATTGGAAAAGACTGGAAATTTAAATAATAGTTGTTGAATTCCTTTTTATAAATAATATTTTACCGCAAGTTGTACAAAATAACGATTTATCACAAAAAACTTAAAAATTCATAAGATTATTTTTCATATTTTTACCTTTTTTGTACAAGGTGGGGCACGATCTGGCATTCTCTTTTGGGTTTGGTATTTTTGAAATAGTTTTCACGATGTCCAAAAGTTTCTAATTTTTTCGAAGACAGAAATCATAATTTTAGGTTTTAGTATCGTTATAAGCTTTAAAATGTTATGAGATAAAATTTTGTGTAACGAAACGAAATTCGTTTAGTTTTTAAGTCCCTGCTCACAAGTTAGTACGTTAAATAGACTAAATGGCCTGAAGTTATGAAATCGTCTATTGTTAGGAATGGATTGTTTATGAAATTTTTCTTCAATATGGTTAATTATACTTATTTAAATAAATTGGTAATATTTTAAATTGTTTATTTTAACAGTGGAAATTATATTAACCACCTTTAAAGAACCGTTCAAAGGGAAGCCCGAGATAATAGGAAACATTGTGATTTTTTAATTTCAATCACAAGTGCGGCATTAACTATACGATAATTTAATAGAAAATAAATGTTACAATCCTTATATTAGACTAAATTTTAGTGTAATAAACCAATAGAATATTTTCTTTCGACTACAATTGTTTTTCTTTTCTACTGTAATAGCGCCATCTACTACATTCTATAGGTAAAGTTTATTCTATAGGTAAAGGTACACTCTCAAGGTGTTACATAAAACGTAAAAAGACGCTTGATGGCCTGAAGTTATAAAATCGTGGATTGGTATACTAATATGATAATTTAGATCAATATGGTTAATTTTTTTATTTAATAAATTTGTTAATTTTTTATATTGTTTATGCGCTACGCTAACTTACTTCCTTCTGGTTTGTTTTATAGTAAAAATTTATATTAACTATCTTTGAAGCACCGCATAAAGAGAGAACCGAGATAATAAGAAACAACGTGTTTAAAAAAATACTAGCGATACCATTAACATTACTAATATTTTCTTTAACCACTACTGCTAAGCTGAAAATGCTAGTGTTAGGAGTGGACTTTTGAGTTTGCGGTCCGCCTATCGCTATCATCATCATCATCATCATTACAGCCTTTCACAGGTCCACTGCTGAATATAGGCCTCCCCCAAGGAATGCCACAAAGCACGGTCCTGAGCCACCTGCATCCATCGACTTCCTGCATGTCTTACCAGGTCGTCACTCCATCTCGTGGGGGGTCACCCTACACTTCGCCTACCAGAACGAGGCTGCCACTGGAGAACCTTTCTTCCCCATCGGTTGTTGGTTCTTCGAGCTATATGGTCGGCTCACTACCACTTCAGCTTACTAATCCGTTGGGCTATGTCGGTTACTCTGGTTCTACTGCGGATATCATCATTTCTAAGTTTATCACGCAGAGAAACCCCGAGCTTCCTCATACGGTCAGCAGTGAAGGACCACGTGTCAGATCCCAAAGTCATCACTGGCAACACGCACTGGTTGTACAATTTCGTTTTAAGGTTTTGAGGTATGTCTAACGAGAAGATGTGTCGTAGTTTCCCGAACGCTGCCCAGCCGAGTTGAATCCGTCGATTGACCTCTCGGTCGAAGTTGGACTTACATAGTCGGACTATTTGTCCCAGGTAAACATACTCGTCAACAACTTCGAGCTTAGTGCTCCCAACAACTACCGGCATAGGTGTGACATGGACGTTAAACACGATTTTTGTTTTGTCCATGTTAATCTTAAGACCTATCCGTTGGGAGACACTATTGAGGTCATTAAGCATAGTGCTTAGGTCGTCCAGCGATTCTTTTTCGTTTTTTTACTTGTGGTGATGCAGCCTTAGATGGTAAATCGCACTGTCTTATCGTAACAAAAGCCTATTAACTCTTGCCTTGAAGACGCCTAGATTGTATTCGGACGGAAAGATAGACGCCGGCAAGTTATTCCACTCCTTTGCTGTACGCATTACAAAAGACGAAGCAAACTGTTTGGTTCTAATGCGTGGAATATCGACAACAAAGGGATGAAGACCCGCCGACCGTCTGGTTGTCCAATGATGGAAAGGAAAGGGAGGAATTGAGGCGTGTAATTCCTGCGCACACTCACCGAAATGCAACCTATAGAATACCGAGAGACTAGCTACTCTGCGCCTGTGCTCGAGGCTGACAAGATTGGTTTCAACCAAATCAAGGTCACCAATGAGCTTCTTAGCACGTCTATCCACTGAGTCCAATGCTGCCAGGTGGCATTTTGCAGCACCAGCCCATATGTGAGACTCACACGCTCAACCATAGCCTCTCTTTCTGACTGGATTTGATCACGACTGGCCCGGGCGCTTTGTTGGTATCTCTCCACAACTGTGCTGTCGTCTGCATACCCATAGACACCGGGAATGAGCAGATCATTAATATGCAGCAGGAAGAGAGTTGCGGAGAGAACGGACCCCTGAGGAACTACGGCGTTAGTTGCCACAGTATTGGATGAGCAGCCATCAACGACGACCCG